AAGAAGAGGGTTGCTTGGGAGAATTTATAGGTAAAAAAATTATATAAAAAATGAATATATATTTGGTTTGCAATGATTACTTATAAGTTATATAGCTGTCTCTTATACACTTCTTCGCTTGGAAATTTCGTTGACGAGGACTCGAGGAGGGAGCCCGGACGAGCTAGGGTTCCCCAAAATAATCGACTCTTTCCCCTCTTTTTTCACCTTCTCACTGCCGGCCTCTAGGAATTCAATTTTTGGACTTTAAACTTCCAGACTTTAGGGCCTGTTTGCTTACAGGTCAATTTTACTGAAAAAATTTATATTGAAAAAATATTGGAAAAATTAATTTTTTTTAACCATCAAACTGACATGAGAGTATGCTTTAAAATTACTCAGAAAGGCGTTAGTTAATGTAGAGTGCACCTTAATATTGCTTAGAAAGTAATTTACTTTTTGACATGGGGAAGCGACTTATGAATGCAGAAATTAGTTTTAAAATATATAAAAGTTAATTTAAGATACTTTATAAATATAAAAAAAAATCTCTACACAAAGTTTGAAAAATGCTATGTATAGAAAGTTGGTAAGTTTTATAATGAAATTTTATTAAAATTTTATTGAATTATTAATTTTACTGAATTTAGTAAGAAATTAATATAAAAAATTAAAAAAAAAATTATTAAGTGATTTCACATAAAGAAAGCTAAGAACAAAAATTCCCTTTAAAAAATAATGAAATAAAAGTAAAAAATTATTTAAAAATAAATAAATATTAAAAATATCACTTTTATTTCTAATTTGTTATAATAACTAGGTGCAAAAATATATAAATAATCCAAAAAATCCAAGCAAAGGCCAAAGTGCAGGCAGTTTCATCCGGGCAAAAGGTATCCGTTTGCCCCTTAACTTTTTGAATTTGAGGGTTTTTACCCTCCATATTATAATACATGAATTTTTACCCTTCATATTTTTGAGTTTGAGAAAATGAGGCAAAATTTAACGCTGGAGCGTTATGTGTAGCACGTGCACCGTTGGCCTCCATCAAGTATGCACATATCAGTGCCACCTCAGACTTTTTTTACAACTTGGCATGCCAACTTGGACCCCATAAGCGGGAAGTCTACCTGCTACCAATTTTATTTGTGGGCCCATCGCTGACTAAAGGTTTGAAAAAAAAAAAAACAGATGAATGCTAGGAAACCGTCCGACTATTCACTTTCCTCTTCCTTTCTTCAACCATTTCTTCAACTTCTGCAAATCTCTAACATCTCAACCAATCTATTCACCTCAATCAATTTCTACATTATGAGTTTTTCATTATCATCAAACAACAAAACCCATAGAAAACCAACAAAAAAAAAACAAAACCCATTGGGGTTCTTCATCATAAAAAAAAAAAAACAAAACCCGTAGAAAACAAAAAGAAAAAAAAGAAATTTTTTACCACTAGGTTACATCGAACCTACACCTAGGTTCGTTGGAACCCAGGCGCGGGTTCGATGGAACCCAGGCCTGGGTTCGGTGGAAACCCCAGTGTTGGGTTCCGTCGAACCCAAGCGCGGGTTCCATCAAACCCAACACTTGGGTTCAATGGAACCTAGCGCTTGGGTCCCCTGGAACCCAGGCGCGGGTTCCATCGAACCCAACGCTTGGGTTCGATGAAACCCCAACGCTTGGGTTTCCACCGAACCCAGGCGCTGGGGTTCCCTGGAACCTAGGCGCGGGTTCCATCGAACCCAAGCCTGGGTTCCGGCGTGGGTTCCATGGAGGCTTCTCTCAACAAAGAATTCTGTTTGGTTCCAAAGGAAAGAGAAAGGAAAGGAGAAGGAAAAAAAAAAAAAAAGATTTTTTTTATATTATTATTATTTTTAGTTATTATCATAAAATCTGAGCTGGACTTGCCAACATGTAAAAGAATTCTGAGTTGGCATTGACACGTCAAGGTATAATGGAGATTAACATACATGCACGTGTCGCACATGATTTTTTACTGTTAAATTTTGCCTCATTTCCTCAAACTTGAAAATATGAAGGGTAAAAATTCATGTATTGTAATATGGAAGGTAAAAACCCTTAAATTCGAAAAGTTAAGGGGCAAACGGATACCTTTTGCCGTTTCATCCCCAACCAAATGCCACCTTAAGAAAATGGATAAAAGGTCGTTTGGTCCTCCGGTTATTGCAATCCTTGCCCTAGTAGTCCAGTGCAATCTTTCTTCAATGATTTACTTTTTTTTATCAAATTAATCATCAACGATTTTTTTTTATAAGCAAAAATTTATTAATTAATGGAGTAAAGGGATACTCTAGCCTCTAAACACTTTGTTTAGATAGAAAATAGTAAAGGAAAGGGAAGGAAATCAAGGGAATTGAGAAGGGAAAGAAAAGGTGATTTGTGTTAATGTTGTTTGGATAAATTAAAATGAGTGAAGGAAAGGAAATGGAAGGATTTTATCATTTTTTATTTGGTTAAGTAGTGTAAAGGGGAGGAAATAGTTTAAATAATTTCAAAATTACAAATTTACTCTTCAATAATTTATACAATAAAAAATGGATTAAGATTACCTTTCAAGTGAAAGATTTGTGGAAATAATTTCAAAAAAAATTGGGGGATTTTGGTTAAAAAATGAATAATTTCTTGGTACAATTTGATCAAGTTTTGGATTTTATTTGTAAAATATTCACCATGTTATTTGTTGGAACAAAAAAAAATTCGTCTAGCAATAGAATTTGGAGGCCAAATGTTAAAAAGAAAAAAAAATCGAAGAAAAAATAGTGTTTGTCGAAAAGTTAAACAAAATATCGAAAAAAAAATCAGCAGGCAAATAACAAAAATTAAATTTGAGAAATGACAAGCAAACAATTTTATTAGATATAGTTTGATTTATTCAAATAAACAATAATAGAATACTTGATAACAATCAAACTGCAAAATGATTGAAACAAACTGTTTACATCGTAAATTACATTTCTTAATAATGCGATGTGTCACCAACAAGGGGTTGGATCAAGTGGTAATCAGCTTGTTCCAGCTTAAGTAAGGTCTCGAGTTCGAGACCTTGTGTACGCAGCAACCCCTGCTGGGAGACTCACTCACCATTTCTAGGTGTGCGACGCGGGTCGAGTCCGGATTAGTCAGGGTGAAGCCTCGGATACCGGGCGGGAAACCAAAAAAAAATAATGCAATGTGTCAAGGGGATAAGATGAGATTAAATTTACTGAAGGGATATATATCTGTAAAATTAGTTGGGAGGATAAAATTTATCCAGTTTGTTGCAGTTTGAATTTAAAAAGAACAGAAATCCCTAGAATTTAAGAAGAAGTTATCTGTGATATAATTAACCAAAAGACAATTTACAAGACGCATATAAATAGAAGCTTTCTAAATTTTATCAGGATACACAGCCAATTCTTCACATAACCCAAAACAGGTTTCAATATTTCCAGGTCGTTCCCTTAGCTTTCAAATTCCTTTTTCAGCATAGTACTTTGTAGAATTTTGATTGTCAATTGCCTTTTTTTTTTGTTTTTTTATTTTTTTATTTCTACAATTGCATTTGATGTAATGAACAACAAGTATTCTAATTTTTGCAAGGTACAATTTCTTCTTTGATTATTGTTTATTTTAAGTTAATGGCATTCACGTTAGTATCTTGTTTTGTTTTTCATATTAGTTTAATTTTTATTCATACATGCTCTTTTGATTAATTAATTTTATTTTTCCAAATCTAAGGTAAGTTAATTGGCAAATCTATTTATAAACATAGATTAATCTGGTTTTGACTATGGTAGATTTAATTAATATGCAGTTGCCTATTGTGAGTCTATTTTAAATTTGCATTTCATATAGTTCATCTAGGATTTATTAACTTTAAATTCATGGTATTGGTTAAGTCCTTAAGATTATCCAAGGCAAATTAGCAACCCATTCTGCAGGAAGGCATCTCTCCCTCTTGCAAATCGTCTGAAGGGCGCAGAACTCAATCTTAAACCAACGTTCTTCCAACCATCCTGACGAAAGTTGACCGTGTGGAAGGAGAGAGTCGTTGGGAGAATCCTTTTTCTTACTTTTCAGAAAAGTAAGTGGTACGCCTACATCCAGATTCTGCATATGTGAAGGTACTTGAGGATTTTTGAGGAAAAACAAACGTAAATTAAAGTATTTAAAATAGAATAGTTTAACCAGAAAAGTAAGAGTTATTACTGTCTTCAAGAGTAACTAGATCAAGAAGTGTTGAAAACAATCCTCAAAATGATAGCCATACGTTTCCCAAGTACTGCTCTTAATTTACCTAGATGTTCAAGTATTTATAAATAAGTAATAGAAAATTTACTTGACTGTAGTTCCAAATCCTTCAACAGATTCCAAACTCTTACTTTCGAACGTGAATGACGTGAATTTCCTTTAAGTGCTTTAGTTACATTATTAATAGCTTCCTTAATGTCAAATGCTTAATTTTTAATTTCTTATAACTCCTTTCTTTTTATAATAATAATAATAATAATAATAATAATAATTATTATTATTATTATCATTTTGTTTTTGAACTAGTAGTTACATTTGAAGGACTTTCAAAACATGTTATAGAATCTATATCAACATTAAAAGTCCCAAAACCTTCCAAAGATACTGACTTTTTGACACCACCAATTTTCTTTATGATATCTTGAGACTCATTGTCACATTTTGAGGATTGCTTTTTTTAATCTCTTGCTTTTCATGGATGGCTCAATCATTCTTGCATGGCATCACAAATGTGTTATAATCATGGTTGTCAAAATTGAGTTTTAAATCGTAAAATCATACGATTTTATGATTTTAGGTATGTATTTTGAGTAAAATCTATATTAAAATCAGAGTCCCATGAAATTGGAAGGAAAAATCGTAAAATTGCAATTTTATGGTAAAATTGTTCGAAATCTCGATTTTACATGGAGTGGAGGAATCACCTAGATGGTTGGTTGGTTGCTATGAGACAGAGGAGATGACTTGTGACTGTTGTTAGGCGAAGAAGA